GTGAGTATCTTCGGTCGCGCTGCCCTTTATGCTTCGGGGGCTCCCCAGCGAAGCGCCCTAATGAACGGTGAGTATCTCACTTCATTGATAGCCCGCACATATCCCTAACGCGAAATCTTCTCAGGCCCGATTATATTGTATGCTTGGATGCATGCTTCACCCAAAAGCGGCGGAAGGGCAAGGGCGATGGACGAGACCACCCGAGACCTCACGCGGAGACCGTTTTCGTGCCGGAAGCTGACGTCAAGGCCATGGAAGAACGAGTGGACAACCTACGACCATCTCGCAGCGGCCCATCTCAAAGCGATCATCGGTCGCGCGGTGACGATGCAGAGGACGGCTATGAGGGCAACCTCAAGATTCCGGTCTCGGTGCTCGACGGCTGCAACGAGTCGTTCTTGGCCGCTGATGAGAAGCGTCACAAAGCGAGCACACAGTTCTTCGCCGACACAGGGCTCATGGCGTTATTGTGTCGGCACGATCGTGTGCTTTGGCTGGTCAATATGACATTCGCTGGCGAACGTCAATTCTACGCCCTCGCACTCATTTCCCGACTTTTCGAGCACATTCCTCCGGATGCAACTGTCGGTATACTGTATGACATAGCGTGCCAGCTTCACCGCAGCTGCGTCAAATGGGGACTCCTCGACGACCATCTCCTTGGTCGCATTCTATTCGCGATCTCAATCTTTCATGCGTTTGGCCATCAGTGGCCGTGCCAAGTAATCTATCACCCTCGCAAGTGCTTAGGTTTCGGGCTGACAGACGGAGAAGAATGCGAGCGGTTCTGGAGCTCCATCCGACCTCTCATTTCGACACTACGTGTTTCCGGAGTAAGTCATCATTTACAATCTTGATTGACGGTATGGACTCATTGTTATCAGTATCATCAGAGACTTTTTGTGTTGGATACACAGGTCAAACATCTTGACGAGCAGTCTCTTGCACGGCTCGGGCATTGGCTCGGTCGCAAATGGATTCAATGTCACGACAAGAAGCTTGTGGCGCAGAATGATCTGGCTGCCTGCCGCATCAATGAGCATGTGTTACGGGAAGAATGGAAGGCTCAGGTAAAGGAACAGACCAAGCCGGCCCCTCGTAAGTAATTGTTATATATGTCTGCTAATCTACAATGCTGAAACTCTGAATGCCTCGACGGTGCTTTGCAGGACGAACGAAGAATGGCGCAAAGCATGCCATCGAGGCAATTCTAGCCCTGCAGAAGAGCGCTGATGCATACAAGACAATGATCCGTGATTTGGAACACAAACTCGCAAGGCCCATTAATTCCGTCGACATCGCAGAACTTAGCTTGCAGCTAGAGGAAGCCCGTCATAGGGCAGCTCAGACATCTGACACCATCTCACGCAAGAAGGCTGCACTGGGCATCAGTGATCGTGTAAGGCTCACCAAGCTCCTCAACGACGAGTTCCTGCGCATCCGCATGAATGCGCAAGCTTTGAAGCAGCGCATCCGTGATCGCTTGCGGCACCGTAAGTTTGAAATCGAGCGGCTTGAACGGTCGTACCGGCAGACCGTCAGCGGTATGTCTTTTCTTTCTATTGATCACTGTGACTCTTACTTATATTTGTTCAGAGCGAAAGCTTACTTCGCACACGGAAAATTCGGTCAAGCGACGTGAACCTGGGATACTCAAGCTAACGAAGGCATACAATGAGCTATGTAAACAACTCGTCGGTCTCATTCAAAAAAAGAAATCACCACCTCGCGCAGTCGCCCCTGTGCCGATTGAGGTGAATGGGCTCTTCAAGCTTGATGTCGACGACGATATCTGGCAAGACGTAGGTCTTGACGATGATGAGACTGGCGCTGCAGTACCTCGCTGGCTTGGTGATGATTCTGTTCGTGCTGGAATCAAGGCCTTGCTCATCCTTGATCGTTGCAAAGAAGAGGAAGCCAGGCTACGTGAGGAGCGTCGTGCCATGCAAGAATGGCTGAGTGAGGAATGGGAATGTGTTCAGCATGCACGACATGATGCAGGTGAGTTTCATCAATAATTATTCTAACACAGTCTATTTGATAACTAACCTGCTCACCCCTTCATACATAGCTGAGGCAGCTGACCATGATATAGTCTACCAGCTGGATGCCCGCAAAGCCAAACTCTGCCAACTCTGTGCAACATGGCAAACTCAAGTCCATGCCATCTCTAGTGATCATCCGATGCCTGCTTGCTGGGGGCCATCAGAGGAAGACTTACTAAATGCAGCAGTTTATGAGGTTGTGGGACAGTGGGATGAGGCTGTGACTGAACATGCAGAAATGCAAACAGTGGCTGATGAAGGTGATGAAGATGATGACATGTTTTGTGATTTCGGAGATTTGGGTGTTGATGATCAAGAGGGTGAGTTTTTGGATGCCCTTGAATCCGTTGCATTGAGTGATGCATACCACTCTGATGACTTATTCTACACATCGAGCATCATTGAGAATGAAGATTCATTCTCAGAGACTCTTGTACCTCGCAAAAGACGATTTGTGAAATAGATATCTTGTAGTTGTGATATGCTTAATTATCTATTTAGAGCATCTTGTATGAAATTTGATCTGTTAATAGCTCTCAAAAGTGTGACTCGGACAGTTTCACAGTCTGATCTGGGACTGTCCAGAGCTTTTCATGTCAAATATAGTCTATTTA